CGCCCTTCTCTGGGGGCCTCCCCCGCACTCTGCAGGACCCCCACGGTCACCCACCCGTGCGGAGAAAGGCCACGATGAGAGCCGCGAGCAGGAGCAGGAGCAACAGGGAGCCCCCGAGCGCTGCAGCCACTGCAGGAAACAGAGGGGACCCAGCGGGCTCAGCCCGAGCTTCTGCAACCCCAGCGACCCCACGAGTTCCCCTCCCGTGCCCCGCTCCACTCGTGCCGCTGCCAGGGACAGAGCGGGGCTGAAGCCAGGGCTCTCGGAGCCCCCCAGGAAGCCACCGGTGTCCCCGTGTCCCCCCGCTGTCACCTCCGGGGACAAACGCGGCTGTCCCGGAGCCCCACAGTGTCCCCGAGTGACGTCACCGGTGTCCCCGTGTCCCCCCGCTGTCACCTCCAGGGACAAACGCGGCTGTCCCGGAGCCCCAGAGTGTCCCCGAGTGACGTCACCTGTGTCCCCGTGTCCCCCCGCTGTCACCTCCAGGAGCAGCTCGGGGCTGAGTGCCCGGAACACGCGGTGCCCGTCCTGTCCCAGCTGGTTGCTGGCCACGCACTGGTAGGTGGCCGAATGTGCCAGCCCGACGGGGGCGAGCTCCAGCAGGGGACCCCGGGCCACCTCCCGGCCGTGGCGCAGCCAGGTGAAGGTGACAGGGGCTGAGCCCACCTGCACCGAGCAGCGCAGCCTCACGGGCTCACCTGCGCGCACCTGCTGGCCCAGGGCACCGGCGCTGATGGTGGCATTGGCCACGGGCACTGCGGGGACACGCACGGGGCTGGCACCTGCCCAGGGGGGATGGCGCTGTCCCCAGGGGACAGGTCTCCCCCCATCCCGAGGCTCCCGCTCACCCAGGACGGTGACATTCAGGGGGACACTCTCGGCCACGCTGTCCCCGTCGCTGACCCGGCACCGGTAGTGGCCGCTGTCATTGTCCCCAACGCTCGGCAGCTGCAGGCGGGGGCCGGTGCCCAGCGGTGTCCCCGAGCCCTCCCGGTGCCAGGAGAAGGACAGGGGACCTGTCCCCGCGGCCACCGCGCACTTCAGCACCAGGGGGTCCCCCAGTGCCACCTGTGCCCCGGGGGGCTGCGCCGACACGGACACCCCCGAGGGCGGGACCGCTGCGGGGGGAGAGGGGGACACCGGGGGACACTCAGGGACACCGGGGGACACTCAGGGACACCGGGGGACAGTCAGGGACACCGGGGGACACTCAGGGACACCGGGGACACTCAGGGACACCGGGGACAGTCAGGGACACCGGGGACAGTCAGGGACACCGGGGACACTCAGGGACACCGGGGACAGTCAGGGACACCGGGGGACAGTCAGGGACCCGAGGACCCCTGAGAGGGAGAGGGGACGCAGAGCTGGGGGATTTTGGGAAGGGACCCCGAGGAAGGA